CTTGGATTGTGGGAAAAGTTTCATACAAAGGTCAAGCCTTGTTCAACATCAGGCAACCCACACAGGAGAGAGACCCCACAAGTGCTTGGATTGTGGGAAAAGTTTCATACAAAGGTCAAGCCTTGTTCAACATCAGGCAACCCACACAGGAGAGAGACCCCACAAGTGCTTGGATTGTGGGAAAAGTTTCATACAAAGGTCAAGCCTTGTTCAACATCAGGCAACCCACACAGGAGAGAGACCCCACAAGTGCTTGGATTGTGGGAAAAGTTTCACACAGAAGTCAACTCTTGTGAAACATAAGACAACCCACACAGGAGAGAGACACAAGTGCTTGAACTGTGGGAAAAGTTTCATAGAGAGGTCAACCCTTGTTAAACATCAGGCAATCCACATAGACGAGAGACCCCACAAGTGCTTTGACTGTGAGAAACGTTTCAAGCGGAAGATAGACCTTGTTAATCATCAGACAATCCACATAGGAGAGAGACCCCATAAGTGCTTCGACTGAGGGAAAAGTTTCATACAGAGGTCAGACCTCATTAAACATGAGAGAATCCACGCAAGTTCTAAACTTGTGCAACACATGGCAAGAAAGGTTTAAGCAACTTGCGTATAACTGACTCAGATCAACCTTTAGAGAGAAATTTCGAAAGTGTTTCCATCTTAGATAAGCTAGAGTTTGAAATGTAAACATGTATTGTTAAAGATTTGGAAGAAGAGGGGTAACTGTAGTGGTCTATGTTTAACTATATCTTGTCGGAGGTTAACAATTTATCCCAAGGGTTCCTGTATTCTGTTAATTCAGGGTTCAATAATTCAGAGATTATACCCGTCGCCGTTGCCACCTGCCCAATTCTAGCTCAGTCTCATTGAATTTGCTGGGGCTGAAGGATGGAGGGAATGTTTATAGCTGAAATCACCAAAATGTGTTTTACAAGGTTAATGTCAATGGGATCTGTTCCGCTCTCCTGCTTGGACATTTTCTCTGGGGATCCCGGAGACGGAAAGGAGCAGGTGTTACCATCTTGACTACCAATCCCCACGGTGACTCTCTACACTAGCAATTCTCAAACTGTGGGCAGAGCCTCCCAGTGGAGGCACAGGAATGTATCAAGGGAGGCGTGATCAGTGTGGGTTGTTTGGTTGTTTTTTTGAAAGAGCACTGGCTGTCGGCCCCACATGCCTGGGGCTCATGAAGAAGGAACAGGCCTAGCTGGGAGGTGGGGATAAATGCTCAGGCTCTCAAACCCAGGTGCAGTAGCAGCACAGAAGTAAGGGTGTCAATGGGGTGAAAAGTCTGCTGTGAACAGCAATATTAAGGAATATCACTTTTCACGTGGCCACCCTAACTTCTGTGCTGCTATTGGAGGGCTTCAGAGCTGGGCGCCTCACCAGCAACTACTCTGCCTTTAGAGCTGTGTGGTGATATATGTGCTTGTGAGGATGGGAGTATAAATGACCACAGACACAAAGGGGGGGGCGATGAAACATCTGTGAGGGCCACTGGTCTACACTATTATGGTCACCACGTTTACAAAATGAGAAATCTACAAAGTATGTCTTGTGAGGTATCATAGGAAAAGTCATCATCTGCTGAATATTATTGTCTGGTTAAAATGTATCTGTCAGCTTTCCCGGGTCTCCCCGCCCTGTCTGGGAGCATTGCAGAGCTGAAGCCGGCAGGCCCCCCCACATCCCCAAAGCTGGGAGCAGTGGGGAGGCAGAAACCAGCGTGGCCCCCCGCATCTCCAAATCCCGGAGTAGGGGGGAGGCTGAAGCTGGGATCCCCAATGCCCCCTGAAGCTGTGAGTTGTACTGGGAGCACCCCTGCCACTACACAGCCCCTAGCTACACCCCTGCCCATACCTTGAGCAATTTTCAAACTTTTTGAGCTGAGTCACCCCTACTGAGTTATGTTTTTTGGTTGCATCCCCCCACTACCCAGGCTGGGTGGCCTTCTGAGTGAGTAAGGGGGATGGAGGTGCCGTGCCCCCCCTGGACCCTGCTGTGCAGAGCTGGCTTGAGCCCCGCCAGCCCTCCCCCCCCCCCAAATAGAAGTAAAACTATGA